TGCCCACCCCCCCCCCCCCTTAATAACAGTTTTAATGACGAACATACAGTTCTTGAATCCTCTGGAATCACATAATGAATTATGGTCAATTAATTGATCTGTATCAGTAAGTGTCTGTTAATAAAGTAATTGGAAACAAGCAGTTTCATTGAGAATATGTAAATGCTATATTGATTTCTCTTGATATTAGAACGTTGATATATTCCTTCTCTCCATATGTCTCACTGTCCTTATATATAAACAAAAGAAATGCAAACTGAAACATTTGATAAAAGAAACAGCGCAAAAAAATGTAGTTTCAAACATGACCACGAGAGGTCACTGTCATTCCACAACCAAAGTTCACAGGTTCACTCACTTGACAGATTTGGTGATTTAACTGAAACTTTCTGGTGTTTTGTACATGCACGATTTCACAGTTACTCTAGAACTTTGCCATGTAATATAATATGAATAACTCATATTTAATCTTTTTCTGGTTGTATACGCATGGCGTTGAGCAGTTAATCGCATGACTCCCACCGCCTGTCTAGTGTTTAATTCACTGTAAATCCTGTCGCTCGTGCTCTCTGAGCTCCTGAAGATCCAAAGCTCGAGATGGGTGACGGGTGGACACATGGACACATGACTGTGGTGTTTCACACTGCCAGGACACTTTCTGCACGGACCAGACCACAACAGGACGTATGAAGTCAGAGACAGTTATCAAAAAGGGAAAACTGATATGTTACCTTTCTTTCGTTGGATTATAATGGAAAGCTGTGCGTTAATTTAGAGAAGATCAACAAAATGGGTTCCAAATCTCGCTAAGATACCCAGTTGAGGCGGTACATTTCTTAACATGTAGTAGTTTTGGCACACTTGCCGCTGTTCCTCTTAAAATGACTGAGAAGTGCGTGCACAGGTGAAGACACCACAGGTAAAGCAGCATCATGATGCTGACGGAACACATGCGCTGCTTAGTCTCTCCTGTTTAGGATTCAGAATCGCCAGAAACGTTAATGGGACGTATCATAGACAACCCCTGTGGCCAAAATGAGCGTCTATTCTCACCTATGGCGGATTCTGAAGATATTCTTGGCAACGATAATCACGGCTGTCACACAAGGTATGTGGATTTCATAATGTCTTAAAGTTGGAAGAGCTCAATTATAATGTTTTGGTCGTTGTGTATAGTATAATAGTGTATTTAGGACCATGGTAAGTCTTGACTGTGCAGAAAGTCTTAAAAACATCTAAATGCTATGCAGTCTTTCTATAGCCTACCCTGTTGAAAAAAACAGCATATGCTGGTTAGGTATGTTTTGACGCTGGGATGCTGGTTTAAGCTGGTCCTTTGCTGGTTTATGCTGGTCCTTTGCTGGTTTATGCTGGTCCTTTGCAGGTTTATGCTGGCCATGTGCTGGTTTATGCTGGTCATGTGCTGGCAAAGGACCAGCATAAACCAGCAAATAACCAGCATAAGCTGGTTTTTTCAACAAGGTATTTACTGTATCTAGTCATGTTAATAGGCAGGAAGCGGAACACGAATTTTATAATATACTGTATTTTATTTATTTTTTTTT